AAACAATTTAAAAGAGAGAAAAAAAAGAAACGCCCACAGAGACTGTGCTGTGTGTGGAGCCACAGGGATAGAGCACCCCCACCACAGCCTGCTGCACTGGCCTTCCACTCTCACCTCCCCACCAAGGTCCTGCTGGGACCAACTTTCCTCCTTAGCAAACCTTCCCCGGAAAAGGTCTGTATGAAGCCACGATCCTGCTGTCCTCAGCCAAGGAGAGAAGGCCCAGTGGAGAGAATGCCACCCAGGGCACTGATGGGGGGTCCCAGGCAGGAGGGACAAGGGCCTATTGGAATGCACCAGCCTAGCACAGAAAGGAGGGACAGAGGGACCCAGCCAACCCGAGAGAGTGGGGTCATCTCACATGGCCACAGCCTCCCTCCACCTAATGTTTTTATAGACCCCATGGCCCTCCACTAGCGCTTCCACAGCACCCCCTCCTGCCTGCCCCCCCAATACACACCCAGGGCTTCCCTTCCAAGGGAGGAGGGGGTAGCAGATGGCTTTGATCTCTCAGAACCTACTTTCTTCAGATTCTCTCCCAAAACCCTTGGGAGAAAATTTAGCCCAACTGACCATGCAGGAGGCACCTTTCAGGGAGCTCGGTGGCTTCCTGATGATGGAAAGTCAGATATGGCCAATGGAAGATGAGTGGATGCTGGGAGCAATGACAACCACATGTCTACTCTATGGTCCCACATGTACATGGGGACCTAATGTATGATGAAGGCTGTAGTTCAATGTAGGGCCAGCTGGATGCCCATTTGGAAAAAATCATATTCTCTACCTCATATCATTCACACACAAAACTTATTCCAGATGAATTAAAGCACTAAACAAAAGACTACGCTGTGCAAGTAGTCAAAGGAAACACAGGAAATAGATATATAGCCTCGGGTAAGGGAGGTCTGCTTACACAAGACATAAAATACAAAATGCATAAATTTGACTATATAACATAGCTTCTCTATGACAAAGTCCACTCTAAAAAGTTACAAGAAAAACTGAAAGAATTGGCTTAATGCCTATCTATATCTATAAATGAAACAAATTGCATTAAAAATTTAAGCCTATTAACTTAAAAAGACAACCCAGTAGAAAAATAGCAAGTACATAAGAGAGAAAATCCAAGTGGCCAATAAAAATATGAAAAAATGTTCCATCTTGTTAGTAACTGGGAAAGTCATATTAAGATAAAAATAAAAGGCAATTTTTTTCTTTATCAGATTGGCAAAAATTTAAGACGGGTGACCTCAAATGTTGGGGTGGGAATGAGGAAATGGGTATTTTCATAAACTATTGGTGTTTAATTCAGCCCAGGAGATGGCCTCGTTTAGTTCAAAGAAAGAATGAAAATTGCTTGTGGACAGCGTGGACACACTGTCATGCAGGGCTGTTGATGGGTGAGGTGGGCGGGTGGTAGGAAAAGGAAAGAATAAGCTAAGAAGTGCAAAGTGAAACTTAAAAGGCCCATGTTAAAGAATCTTTCAGTGTGACGCAGGAGAAACAGCGTTTCTTGTGGGTGTTGAGGGGAACCTCTTGAAAGTACACAGGGGTTTGAACAGCATCGCGTCCGAGAACCGCAAGACCTTGAGGGAGGGCTTTCAAAGTACTCATGCTTTCCCTCACCCCCTCCCCAGCCCGCCCCAGCTAGGACACTTCCAGAAACACTGACATTTCTCTCCCTCATTATGGAAAATGTCAGAGAGGATTCCAGCCCCCAGAGCTGGCTCCATCACCCACCTCTAAAATGAGCACCGACCTGAAGTCAGACACTCTCTGGCCTCGGTCTCCCCATCTGCAAATGGGGATCATAATACTTAGCTTGTGATGGAGTTGGAATGTTGAATGGGATGATGACTCTAAATATAGTGTCTGCCCAAGGAAGTGCTCTAATCAAGAACACAGTAAAGTAAGCAAAGCTTCTTGTTCTGGCAGCAACCAGCTGCGGTGTAGACTGAGGGCTCAGGACGGGGGACAGCTCCGAGGGAGCGTGAGTGGCTGGTGATATTTTAAAGCTAACAACAGTGCAACATATACGAGAAATAAAGTGTTACTGTCTTTACAAATCAATAAAAAAAGACAAACACCCCAAAGGAAAAGTCAGCAAAGGAAACAATCTATAAAAGAGAAAAATATACATGTCCAATAAACATGACAAAGTTCAGCCTCGCCCGAGCCGGTTTGGCTCAGTGGTTAGAGGGCTGGCCCTCGGACTGAAGGGTCTCGGGTTCAGTTCTGGTCAAGGGCACATACCTTGGTTGTAGGCTCGATCCACAGCCCCGGGGGGGCGGGTGCAGGAGGCAACCAATCAGTGTGTCCCTCACACATCGATGTTTCTCTCTCTCTCCCTCCCACTCTCTCTGAAAAGCAGTGGAAAAAATATCCTCGGGAGAGAATTTAAAAAAACACAAAACAAAAAAAACTTCAGTCTCACTAGTCACTTAAAAGAAACATAAAATTACGTAAGTATGAGATTCTATTTGAACCACAAAACTGGCAAGAACTTTTTGAAAAATGGAATAGCAGTGCTGGCAGGAGTTGGAAATCACTGTGCTCGTTAACTGTTATTTGAGATGGTAAAATGGGACACTTCAGGGGGACAAATAAAGGTGCATCTCAAAAACCTTTAAAAGGGGCATTCCCTTTATTAGGAAATAACCAGGTTTACACCATCATAGGAAGATTTGGGGATCAACCCAGTTCACTACAACCCCCTCAGTCCTCTGTTCCCCACCCCTCCATCCACAGAGAAGGTTGAAAAACAATTTCCTGGCCCTCTGGTCACAGCCCACAGGATCGGTGGCGCCGCACTTGAGATGGGGGACAGAGCAAGAGGGAGAAAGACTTCGTTTGGGTAGAACTGTAACCTATGAAGTTGGAAGCCGGGTGGTCATTTCCCCAAACGGTGACAGAGAACACTGACCTTCACCAGAAAGGACAGAGGAGCTGCCCAGAGAGGTCAAAGCAAGAGTGAGGGTGTGTTGTCCAGGTCCCCAGGGCAGCAAACACCCAGACGGGATTCAATGTGCAGGTTTACTGGGGACCCTTCTGTGAGGTAAAGGAGGAAGCAGAAGACAGGAAGGGCCTTCGGATGGTGAGGCAGGTCCGATACCGTGAAGGGGAGAGCCCCACACTGCCCGTGGCTCTCAGGAACTCTTGGGGGACCGGCGGGAGGCCCCACATGAGCTGCCGGATGGAAGAGCACAGGGACGGGCAGAAATCGCTGAGCTCAGTCCTTGTCTGGAAGCAAGGACTGAGGGGACAGAGGGCTGGAGGGGAGCATGGCTGAGGCCCGTGTTAGATCCAAAGGTGCAGTAGCTGCAGGCTGTGTGAACCGCTCTCCGTAGCAGGTGCTCCTGAGGAGGGCCGTGCTCATGGGTGCCTGCAGAGGGCTTCCAGGCCTGTTCCCCACTCTAGTCATTGCCAGCCCCTATGCCTCCCTAGCAGGGCTCCCATGAGACCCTTCCACGGACTGTTTTACAATCCCTGTATTTGTTTAAGGTAGCTGGGGCTGTTTCCAGTAATATGCAACCTCAGGAGTTCTAGCCATTACCTACACAATTTGTGTTTGACTATGTACTTTGAGGTATTGTTTATAAATTTTAACATTAAAAATAACCCACATGTAAGGCTGCATATCTTAGTAGGTGTTGGGGTTACACAGGTATACGCATTTGTTAAGATTTGTGCGTCTTGCCCGGCCGGGCGTGGCTCAGCGGTTGAGCGTCGACCTAGGATCCAGGCGATCAGGGTTCGATCCCCGGTCAGGGCACATGCCCGGGTTGCGGGCTGCAGCCGATCAATGACTCTCTCATCATTGGTGTTTCTCTCTCTCTCTCTCCCTCTCCCTTCCACTCTCTGAAATCAATAAAGATATATATAAAATAAAATAAAAAATATTTAAAAAAAGATTTGTGCGTCTTTTGGACAAGATATTTCGGTGAGCCATGGGGGGCTACTGCTGAGCAAGGGCTTGGAGAGGGACCTTGCAAAGTTGGTTAAAACTGATTACGTGCCTGCTGTGTGTTGGGCACTGCTCTAAAGTCTGACACATATTCCCTCGTGTATCAGAGGCTTCAGATGCCACTGACCAGAAGAGCTACTGAAATGGGAGCCAGTACTGCCCGTCACTGCTAAATGCCCCACGGGCCAGAGCAGGCTGGGGAGCTTGTGAGACACACCCATGAACACACCATCCACTCCTGTGTACCCCCACCCAGATCCCCTCACCCCAGGCAGAGAAGTGAGAACCGCCACACACATGCACACACACACACACACACCCTGGTGCACACACCTCTACACTTGCACTCAGAAACTACATGAAGCAGCCTAGGAAATATGTTTCCTGCTGTGCTAGAAAATAGCCCCAGGAAGCCCTCCCCGGAAGCCTGGAAAGATGACCAACTCTAGCAACAGGGGCTCTGAGTTCCACTTTGACCAACCCCCACTGACCTCAGAACTACATCCCACAGGGCCTTGTCCCCCTAATCCTGGAAGAGTTTGGGTATAAGCCACTGTCAGTGCTCTCTCTGCTTCATTCTCCCCACTGCCTCTTTACACACCAATCTCTCAATGCAAGCGTGTTCAAGCATCCAGGGGCCTAAAGGGGCCCAGCAGAACCTGGCAAGGGGGAGAAAATGGAAGCTGAGGTCCGCCCTCTTTTATAGCCCCTGAAATTCCACCTTGTTTCATTTCCCTAGATATAGCAGTCCTTCACACTTTAGTGTGAATTAGCCAGCTATGGCATGATGCTTTCTTCAAGGATGGGCTCAGCATGATAGCCCTGGGCATCCTGAGTGAAATGGTAAGGCACAATTGGAAATGTGTAAGAAGGAGAGGGATGTCTAGAAAAAAAACACCTTTTCTGAGACTGGGAAGCACTGAGGGTAGATGCTCTCCACTCACCCTGCCCACTTACCCTTACTCTGAAGGAGCAGGGACTCCAGCTTACACCAGTTCTATAACACCTGCTCCACACTAAAGACAAATCAGCACACTTCACATTTAGCTGTTTTTAATGCTCAAAAGCTCTTTAAAAAAAAAAAAAAAAAAATCACAAATGAATCCTCACAACACCCCTGTGAGGTAGGTAGGCAAGTATTATTCTCCCGTTTATAGATGGGGATACTGAGGCAGAGCAGTGATGTGACAGGCCAGTGGTCTCAGCACAGCTGAAAGTCAGGGCCACCATGAGAACACAAAGGCTCCCTCCCAGTTCAGCCCCAATCTCTGACCCCTCACCTAGACCTTGTCTGCGAAGAAATTAACAATTTTTAATATCTGCAAAAATAATAAAAACAAAAACAACAAACCTAGAAAGGTAGTGAACAGACATACAGTAGTTTTGCAAAAAGAAATCAGCCAAGATGGTCAAATATTTTCCAATACTAGGCAGATATGAACAACTTCAGCCTCTTCTCCCCTTCTCAAATATCATGACCAGGGACACAACCACCTATTTCTCCATAGAAGTGCAAGTACTCGACCACAGAGAGTCCCCCTGGCCCCAATGAGCCAGGCCAGGTGTACAGCCTCCCCACTGTTCAGCCCCTGGGTTTCAGCAGACACCAGTCCCCAGAGGAAGAGCTGCAAGCTCAACTCAACACCGCCTGCCTCTTCTGAGCAGCTTTCCTACTGTCTGGACACAGCAGATCCTGCAGGCCTTGCGTAGCCCCTTCTGCTTCCCCTGGGAGGCAGTTCAATGGCCCTCAGCAAGAATGGTCTGGAATCCAGGTGACCCTTAATGCCACCCTTAGCCCACTCATATTCTTCACTGTTCTCTCAGGTTACCCAGCACCCCTGAGGGTTCCTGCTGCAGCAGGTGGGGACACAGGGACATCTTGGGCTGGTGGGGCAGGGAAGAGGTGCAGAGGGACCCAAGGCTGGGTACTTTGGCTTCCTCAGCACCTCCCACCTGGGTTCCCAGGCAAATGGAGCTGGCTCCTTCCACAGGGCTACATCTAGCTTCTGGAAGCTCTTCCTTGCCCTGAGAAGGGCTCCCTGATGTTTCCAGCTCCTTAGAAAACTCCACAGCCCTGCCAGCCCCAGGGAAGGGGAGAGGGGAAAGGAAGAGAGGCAGAGGTCTCTGCTGGACCCACCAAGCCATGTGGTTGTACTTCCTGAAATCTCCAGGTTGGAGACGGGATACAAGAGGCAAGAAAAACCAGGTAAAGCTGCCTTTAAAGTCACAAAGCCACCCAGAGTGCTGTCCACTTCCCAGGGAGCCAGGGTCCCGAGGGTTGTGCTCAGGCAGCTAAAGGGGAGAAGCCAGGAGGGAGAGCAGCAAAGGAATGAAAAAAAACGAAACCCACGCTGGCCAGTTGCTCTGCACGGGGTGGTCAGACCTGCTCTGAGAGGGGGGAAGGAGGGGATGGCAGTGGAAGCGGCAAGTAGCTCTGTTTGGCAACTTGAGGAGTGAGCTCCTAGGAGGCTGATACCAGCCCGTCTGCAAGGCGGACACACTGGGCCCTCCTAAAGGAGGTTCTCATGCCTGTCATTTACAAGGTATGACTGTGTGCTAATTGTCCTATAAAATGCTCTTTCAAAAAAGGGGTCCCAACCCAGCCCCAGTCTCTCTGGGAAGCTGGGCAACTGTCAGCTCAGGGCCACTTCAATAAAGAGCACCTCCAGCACCCCAGCCTTCGTGGGGCCCTGCGGGAGGGAATGGGAGCAAGGAAACACGTCCTACAGAAAGTCCCCGGCAGTGAAGGGCTCCAGGCTGTGGCTCTGCTCCTGCCACCGGCAGCGCAGCCTTGAGAAGGGCTGGTCCTCCGCGCTGTCGAGCTCAGGGAAGCCCAGCTGATTGAGGATCTCGTAGACACCAGCCTTCGACGCCACCTGGAGAGGACAGCAGAAATGGGGCTGCATTCCAGGGGAGGGAGGGTGTCATTCGGGTTATCCTGCCTCACTTTGTGCCTTCCTTCCCTCCTGGGCTCCGAAGCACACAGCTGAGTCTGGGGCCCAGGGCTGCCTCCGACCAGCTCAGCGAACTGAACCAGTTTGTGTTTTACCGCTATTAACTGCTCTGAGCTTCAATTTCCTCATAATGGGGATAACAGGCTCTACCTGCCAGGCCCGTCGTGGAGGGCTACGTACACACCGAAAGTCAGCAGTGCAGGAGACAGAGCCCTGTGCCTGTGCAGCCCTGCTGCTCCCACAGGGACAGGCTCTGGGCATTGCAGCTGGGCCTGCAGGGAGCTCTGGGGAAGGCTGTGTGAACTTGGGAGCCAGCAAGAGCCCTCTGGCTGTGAGTTCTGGCTGTGGGCCTCAGCAAGTTACCTGGGGCCTCCCTGGACACTCTCCACAGAGCTCTGCTGCCCAGTGGCCCAGGCCTGGGGGTAGGGAAGATCAGGGTCCACTCAGAACAAAAGTCCTCAAACAACCCTCACCCCCACCTGCCATTCATCCCCTGGAGAGAGGGGCTCTGAGGCTAGAACCCCACACTCCTAACTGGACCAGCAGGTCTCTCCTTCCTTGACCTCCTCCAACACCCACACCCAGGTTCAGCTGGGGAGGGGATTAAGCTCCTTCCTAGCCTCGGCTTCCCTGATCCCACTCTCTCAAGCAGAACCCAAGTGGAAGTGTCCTAGGTCCCCCACCATCTCCACTCTACCAAGGGGCTCAAGAGGAAGCTGAGCCCAGGCCCGCTCAAGAGGGTGGCCCCAACAAGGCCTTGGTGTGACCCACACCCCATCACATCTCAACACTCTTCCACCCAAGGGCCACACTCATGGCTTTTCCTTCAGCACAACGGCCCAGCAGCCACTATTCCTGCCACCGGGCACTGCAGTGGCCCCCCTGCCTCCCATCCCCCACAGCTCTGATCCCACTCACACACCTGCCTAAGCCCATGCCCTTCCATATCCCAGCTGCCTGCTTTCCCACATGCCTGCCCAATGGGAGCTCATGCAGACTTGATCCAGATCAGGACCACCAGGACAGGCAGTAAGGTCAGGAGGGGCCAGTGTCTTGATGGAGGGGTGATTACAGGCCATTTTGCCGAGGAGGGAAGGAGGCCACTCTCCTGACCTAGAGGTAACGAGGTGGCAGCTCTGCCTCTAAGACCAGCTGCGCCAGAGGAAAGACCAGGAAGAGCTGGGAGGCCAAGCTAAGAGGTGGAACTCAAGGGCCGTGTCCTAGGCCAGATACGGTGGGCTTTGGAGCCAACCAGCTGCTCGAATGCTGACTATGAACAAGGTACTTAGCCAGTCTGTGCTCAGTCTCCTTCTCCGTAGAATGGGAGAGCAACAGTCGCCATGTAAGGCAGGCCTGCTTAGTCCAGGGCCTGGCAGATGGAACTGTGTATCTCACAGAGCACTCACCACCACCTTCTGACATGGTGCCAACACCATCAACATTTTGTCCATTGTAATGTTGAGGGCAGCGGGTTAGTGGGGTTAATAAACTTGTCCAAGGTCGGACTGGAAGGTGGTGTGCTGGGCTGCCATGCCATCTTGCCGCTTGCAGAGTAGATGAGACCAAGCACACATGGGCATGAAGAGGCCGGGCAATGTTGGCCTTGGGGACAAAAGGAGCAGGGACCCGACCTGACACACTGCCCTGATCTGTTCCCCACATGCCTGGTCTCCTCCCTCCTCCTCATTCATTCATTCATTCATCAAATTTACTGCCTGCCTGCCAAGCACAGACACTGTGCTAGGGACCCAAGATCAAGCAAGACAAGATCTCAGCCAGATAGACGAGTGTGAGAGGAGAATGCATCCCGCTCAACAGGGGCCTCTCGGGGCGGCCTCAGCCTCTGCCTCTGACCTCTCGCATCCAGGCGCTGAAAGGGCGCTGCCAGGAGCCGGCCTTCTCCAGGTGGAGGTAAGCGTTGAAGAGCACCAGGTAGACGTAGCGCTCCAGGTACTGCAGGCTCCGCAGCCGCAGCCTCCGGGTCTCCTGCTCCGACTTGGCTGCCTTCACCTGCAGGACGGCGTGGGGCCGGGGTCAGCGCAGGGGCTCCTCCCCACCCAACACACCTGCACACCACACACTCACATCACACACATACACACCCCACATGCACCACACACCGCGCACAGATACACATACACTCCCATACACACATGCATACCACACAAACCCCCACAGCACACACACAGTCACACCACACACACACCACACGCTACAAACCCACTCACACACATTCACACATACCACACACGTACACACGACACACACACACACATCTCACTCACTCATACACCCACCCCCACCCCCACAGTCACACCACACACACATACCACTTACATACTTACTACAAACCCATTCACACACATTAACACATACCACACACATTCACACTCACACTCACACTCACACACACATTCACATCCTGTACCACCCTCAGACCAGGGTAGAGGCAGGAGGAAAGGATGCAGATGGCAAGTCCAAGTGCATCTGAAATCCACTTCCTGCCAGGAGGGCATGGACAGGTCACCTGGCCTCCCCAACACCCACTTCCTCACTGTGAAATTATAGCCACTGTCCTTTTCTGAGGGGCGACCAGAAAAGGACAGGCTGCCATGGGAAAGCTCCGTTCAGGCACCTCTATCACGCCTGAGGTGTGGAGAGGCCCCCCAGGTGGCAGGCCCCATAGGCTTGACTGGACACCCAGCTCTCACCACCAGGGAAGACCCTTAACCCTTACTGCCAACTCCTGTCAGCCCCCAGTGGGGACATCTCCTCCCCCGGCCCCTGAACTTCCCAGGACTAGAAGAAGCACTCTTGGCTCCTCTCTCTCCCAAGCCCTTGGGCCTCCCTTAGGGAGGGGTGGGTATGAGGTCTCTGATCAGTGGCCTGGGAAGGGGCCAGGACAGTAGTAAGCAAGCCTAAGCTCTCAGGGCCCTGACTTGTAGATACAACTTGGATCCCCCACCTCAGCCTGGGCTCTGTGGCCTCCAGCTGCCCACAAGAGTGAGCTCAGCTCTGTCTGGGAAGGGGAACAAACCCCAGCTTGGCCTCTCACCTCAACTGCTCCCTAACTCACTTCTGGCCTGTTTCTCAAATGATTCAGGATCAAAGGTGGGCAGGTGGGCTTACAGCCCTCAGACCCCAGCCCTCATCCTCTCCAAGGCTGGAGACAGGCACAGAAGGCCACCAGGGCTAAGGATCAGCAAGAGATGCAGCAGCTGAGGGAAAGGAGAGCAGGGCCAGCAGAGCAGTTAAAGATGAGCTCCCAGGGAGCAGGGATTCCACTGGGCTGAGGGCCTGGCTGGATTTGGACGGAGAGAGGGAACACCAGATGGTGTGGCACAGAGGTGAGGATGGTGTCCAGCAGGTGGGGACCAGAAAAGGGCTGGCCTGGCTGGAATGAGGATGTGAAGGGACAAGAAGGGAACTGGGCTAGCATCCAGTGATGGAAGCCACCCCCCCAACACCCAGGAAGTCAACCCTCCAGGCCACCTTCCCAGCCCTGGCATGCAGAAGCCTGGGCCCCACCCAGACCAATCACATGAGACTTTCTGAGAGGTGACCCTGAGCATCGGAATTGGGGAACACTTCTGAGTGAGTCTCTATGGCCAGTGTTGAGCACCACAGCCCTAGCTCTGGGAGCTGTTGAAGGATTAGGGGTAGGAGTGACCAGTTAGTAGAAGGCTAATGGGAGATGAATGCTCAGAAGGAAGGGGGTCCTCTCAAGGTTCTTCTTAATGTAGGGGTCAGGGGCAGGCCAGGGGACAAGGGCCAGCTCTCCCCTGCAGAGTCTCTCTGCCCCATACCTGCCTGTGCTCCCCACCCCGGGTCTCCACCCAGGTCCCACAGCAGCTCTCACTGCTCCAGTAAGAGGATGTGTGTGGCACAGGCGCCGTTCCCTCAAGCTCCTGGGACATCGGTGGGAGGGCACAGCCATCCCAGGCCTCCGGAAACCAGGAAAGGCCATTTTCCACCAACTGGGCCACAGCTGGAAGCCTTTCCTTGCAGGCACACACATCAGCCTCTGGGTCAGCCCCCCGCTGCTGCGGGAAGGCTCCCAGGTGGGCCCCTCTCCCCAGACCTGATTCGGCCCGAGTCCTACAAACCAGGAGCTACACTGGGCCTGCTTTGGGGCCTGTGGTCCCCCACCTCACACTCCTGCCTCAGGTAACAGCCTTTGGTACCTCTGCCCTCTTTGCTCCTGGGGCTATGTGAGTAAACAGTAACTTACACGCCATCCATAGGAGCTCTGGGGCCTTGGGGATGGGGAGAGGGTAGGAGATGGACAGAGACAGGGCCCAGGAGGGACCAGGGGCCACAGCCAGTGCTCTGACTCCCTAGGAGACATGAGCTGGGTTCTGGGTCTGGTTCTGCCATTTAAACTTAGCCCCACCCCCACCCCTCATTTCTGGAAGTGGGGTTGCTCAGTAAAGTAAGGTGTGAGGAAGCACCTAGAAACCATGGAGAGCCACCCACGTCCATTCATTCATAGAACAGGAGGGAGGACTAAGACGGGCCCTGCCCACAGAGATGGTGGTGCTGGTGGTTTGGGGAAGGGGGAGAATAGAAGGCAGATTCAAAGCATCCAGAGGGACAGATCATGGAATCGAAGCAGGGCAGGTAGCTGGACTGGGGAGGGCATCAAAGAGGAGGCAATATTTGAGGTGGGTTAGGTGAAAGGGGGCAGAAAGATGCCCTGAGACAGGAAGAAAAGGGGTTAAATGGTGAGGCATCTCCAGGTAGACAGAGGGGGAGGAGGTTCTAGCAGCAAGGAGAGGGTGACGATGGAGGCAACACCCAGAGGCCAAGCCAAGCCCTGCCTCAGACGAGGGGGCCGGCAAAGGCTCCTGGAGGGTTTGAGATTGGGAATGGCCCCATGGTTGCTGCTGGGGAGGGGTGGGAGAGAGACAGATCAGGATGCCTGTTGTTTTAACTATCAACCAATTTTGTTTAGAATTAGGCAGTGGACCAAAAAAGATTTTACCTAAATACAAACCGTGACCAGTACAATGCAGCTGGTACCCCTATGGGCAGGTATTTCACGCTGCGCTGCCCGGGGCTTCGCCACCCCATCCCTTATGCTGCCTCCCAGGCTCTATCCAGAGGCCTGGAGTCCATTTAAATCCATTTTCTTAGAAAGAAGGAAAGGAAATCACCAGCAGTCCCACCAAGCAAAAGCCATTTTAAACTACTTTCAATGAAACAGCTCAGAAGAAATATCCTGAGGGCACACAAAGCCCTCAGCCCGGGGCTTGGCTCTGGGACAGGGCCACACCAACCCTGTCCTCTTGGTGCCCCTGCTCCCATAGGGACACAGGCCTGCAGCCCAGAGACACCATCAAAGATCGGGTCTGAGCAATGCTCGAGGTGGAGGGGCTGAGCAATTCCTCTGAGCCCCACTGGCAAGGTAGGGTAGAATTATCTCTAAATTCAGACCACTGGGTAAAGGTGACGCCAGACACTCCCCGGAAGGTTCCGTGGGCACATCCTGCCCAATCGAAGTCTGTGATTTGAGGAATGACCCATCTTCCTATCAAGGCCCTGGTTTCCTTAAAATCACCCATGTTGCACTGTCTGGGGAAGAAGACAGGCCAGCCACCTCCTACTGATAAAAATAGTGGAGCTGTTTTTAAATGGCCTGGCAGGCCAGGCTGTCATTAGCTGTGGTGCAGCGGGCAAGGGCTCCTCGTCCACTGGGACTGAGCCCTGAAATAGAAGGGGCCCGGGAATGGTGGCCAGGGCACTGGCATTTCCGGCCCCTCCAACCTGCAGTCTGCCCGGCACCCACGCAGGCCCGATGTGGCCAGCACTGGCTCTGGTGAAGCTCTGCTTCCAGCTGGGCACCGAGGCAGGGCTGGCGGGCCTCTGCAGGTGTGAGCACTGCTGGGGAGAGCACATTACATCCAGATCTGATCGTTACATTCTAATCCACTCTCCAAGTGACTCCGTGAAGGAAGAGGGACATTCGTTCGACAGACGAGGTCTGCAAGGTTAAGTAAGTACCCAAAGTCACAGAGTTCCCAGCTGGGACACAAACTCCAAAATCCCAGCTCTCCTATCACCCTAGCCCCTTTCTTCACAGTCAAGTTCAACCACTCCCTGCCTCACTCTTGCCTTGGTACTTTTACCCCTCTCCTCTCCTGCCTGGAATGCCCTCCCGTCCGCCTGACATGGCTGTGTTCAGCTTGACCCTCCAGGCCCAGGACAAGCCCCCACTCTCCTGAAGCCAGCTGTGAGCTCCGGCCCCACAGCCCACCCTTCTCGGCACCTCTGGTAAACCACGGGATAACGGCACACTCCCTCCCCACCACCCCCAGTGCTGACTCACTTTTGCCTTGGTACTTCTGCAGCAAGTGCCGGGCTGGTTGATGAGCGCTGACGCCCTAGATCATCTCATCCTGTCTCATGCTTTCACTGCCATCTAGAATCTAGGTTCTAGACAGCACACTGGTCACTCCCACATGTGTACCTGGGGCTCCAGACTTGGACATGCAATTGCCAGCTCAGGGCTTCTCAAATGTACCAAAGAAGTCCTAAACGCCCCTGCCTCGCTCTCCCAAATCTGCCCCACCCTCAGCTTTGCCCATGGTACTGGCACCTCCATCCTTCCTGCTGCTCAGGCCCAAACCTGATGCCCCTCCTTGACGTCTCCCTTCCTCAACCCCACACTCAGCCACTCAGGGAATCTGGTCCCCTCTACTTCAGAACACTCCCGGAAGCTGCCCACCTCACGTCACCCTGATTCAAGCCACCCTATCTCAGACTGGCCTCCCCGCCACCATCCTCGCTCTCACTCCTGCTCCTATTATCAACAGAGCACCAGAGTGACTGCTGAACATTCAGGCAGCTCCTCTGTTCCACACCCTGCACTGCCCCCACCAGCACTCTGAGTAGAAGCTGAAGTCCATGCAATCCCAGACAAGGCCCGTTCGGTCTGCCCTTCCTGCCCCCATAACCTCTGACCTTCTTTCCTTCCCCTCCCTGTCTCCTGTGTCTGCTCCTCAAACATA